CCCTCCCCTCAACAAATGGATCTTTTTTGTTGTTTGTTTTGGGGTGGGGGTAGGTAATTAGGTTTTAATTAATTTTTTAATGGAGGTGCTGGGGATTGAACCCAGGACCTTGTATGTGCTAAGCATGTGCTCTACCACTGAGCTATGCCTTCCCCTCCCTGGCCCCCTTGAATCCATCAGTCGCAGTGCCGTCCTCCCAGGATTGCTCCAGACTTCGAGTATAGCAGGTGATGGGAGAGTGGCTCACCACCAGGTAGGGAATATATTGCCATGAATCACCACATATGATTCCTGTTTAATAAATCTCCCAAATTTCAAGTGACTATTGGTATCTTAACACAAAAGCTTTGACTGATGTATTTGTCTCTTAGTGAATCACCCAGGCTCTTTGTTTTGGCTGTCCCAACTCTTAATAGGAAATCCACAGAATCAGTCTGATCGCAGGCTGGGGTCTGTTTATTCGTGGCTGTTCTTAAAGAGCAGACTTGGTCATAAAGCTTCTGGATCATCAGAGTTTGAAGAACTTGAGTAAATGAGGGTGGTGTTATTTAGAGGAAACCGGGGGTAAATTCTTTGTAATGTACATTACCACATATATAAGTTGTACACTCACTCCATTTAAGTAAGATTAGGATTTTGTACATTCTGCTTTCATAAATCAGAGATTCCAGAAGTAATGATTTTTGCCTGTTGACACTTCATATTCTGTGTATGTGTTTGGATAAGTTTCATTTGAAGGGCTCAGAATACCTACTCTTCATGTAGACCTACATAGAACGGTTCCTGTATGCAGATCATCACTGACAACTCATTTTATTCCACTGTAGAGTTAAACAGATGAGAAAGCATCTCCCCAGGCACCTCAAAGACACAGTTGCATGTTTGAAAAAGGCAGATTATAATTGAACTCAAAAGCCATGGTGTGTGTTGAAAGCCCATTTCTTTATTATCCGTGTGTTCTCTTGAAACCAGAGTATATGTTGCTCTGCACATCTTCCACTTCTTAGGTGGGCGTGGATGATGATTCTGTTCTACATGTATTTCTACAGTTATCCCCTCACTCTGAAGCCCCTGGCTGGATCAACATTTCATCTGTGCCCAAAATAGACTACTAAGAAATAATCAGAATAAATAATAATAAATACCTCTATCAGTTGTAAAATTTCAGTACCTCAATAAATACCGTCATTCCTGCCACTGCTAATTTGTTTAATAAATAAGGTAGAGAGCTCTGATTGCAAATGGTCTAAATCATCCATGCTGTTAGCACTAGCATGGAAAAGCTTCAAGTGGTAATGGCTGGGTTTTCCTCCTACTTAGAGATTGTAGCCAAATAACTCCCTCTCAGTGTATATTTTTAAAGCATATTCTCTGAATCCTGGGAAAGGATTTGTTTTTGTTTTGGGGGTGGGGGTGGGGCTCCAGGACCAATGATCACCAGCTCCCCAGGTACCAAAAAAACTATGCTTCCGCAATCTCTTGATGTCGATTCCGCACGCAGAGCAATTAAGCTGCCCTGCGTGGGCCGCTCACGACAGATGCCCATTTTAGGGAAAGGATTTTATCACCATATTACCCTGTCTTCCAAACTGTCTCCTCAAAATAGTAATACATTGACCTGTTTAAGCAGATAAATTGGCAGCCCCAAGTCAGACTGAGAGGTGATACAATTGACTGTGAACTAAAGATTCAGTTCCCATTTTAGGTCTAAACAGTCACTAGTGGGAAAGTAATAAAATTTGATTTCATTTAACTTAGTAGTACCATTCATCTTTGGTCATCTTTGGTCCTGCCCTTTTAATTAGGTGAATACAAATCTTTGGTCATAATCATCTTCCAATGCCCATTAATCAGCTTTCAGCCATAGTTCTTTTAAGAACCAGTTTAGGCTTGTGCTTATTGTGTAAATTAAATTTTTAGGAAAGATTAATGGTAACAGGTCCTACAAAATTGAATGATCTAAGTCCTCTAGTTTTCCCTTTGAGGTAGGAAATTTAGTTTAATGAATTAAGCAATCTTTTCCCACGACTCTAGCATGAAGTTGCAATTTATTAGAATGGATTTTTAAGAGTAGAATTTAAAAAGTGCTACACACTGAAGTTTTTATGTTAGTTATGATTCTTTATTCTGGCTGCTGCTCATGGAAGAAGCAGGGAAACCATTCTAATAGTTTTTATTTAGTTCTGTATTTTTTCACTAAGATAACTTGGGTGAGATTTCTCGAAGGCACCTGCTTGTTCTTTGGTGCGGCTCTCTACCCACTTGGCGGAGGAGCAGGGGGTTGCTGGGAGCCCTTGTGTAAGGCCTGCTGGGTCCGCACACCCCGCCCGCAGGAATGGAGCTCTTGAGCCCTTCATGTCTGAGGTCCCGATCCCTGTGTTTTACACCCTCTGCACCCTGTGTCAGCTGGTAGCATTTTTGAGATGTTTTTAGGTAACTATGTAAGGGCTCAGAAAAAAGTTCTACAGATATTTTGGGACCCTTAACCTTCATTTTAGAGCTAATCAGTGAATGAAGTTAGAAGAGCCTTGTCCCCATTTTCTTGGTACTGTTACCGATCTGAGTTCTAGTACCATTCAAAACATACCACTACCCCATCCTGCAGGCCCCAGGTGAAGCTCTTGCACAGACTTGGGGGCTTCCAGCAGGGACCTCGCAATGGGCCTGCACGCCAGCTGAGCCGGAGACAGCTGTCTGGTCTTCAACACCTGGCTTCAAGAGCAGAGCTGGACTCTAGACGCTTGCGCAGGTGGTTGGCAAAATCCACCTGGGTCTGCGATAGGACCTGGTTGATGATCGTCTTTGGAAGCCATCCCTAGAGGTGAAGTTAGAAAAATTTGGCCATCTTGCAGGTGATGTCCCCCTCTAGACACCGCCATGCCCTACCCCCGGCGTTGTGGGTTGCCTAGGCTTGGCCTTCTGGCTCTGGTTATAGGTACATCCTTGCAACTGATCAGGGTCCTGTTCCATGTGGGATGATGTGGGAGAGGTTAAGAGTATATTTTTTTCACCACCACCTTCCCAGAGTCACCTCCTGTGCCCCTCACCTTGAGGTCAATGCTGAGCAGCCAGGTGAGTTTGGTCTTTGAGGGGCTTCCAGCCAGAGGATGCAGCACCATGCAGGTGGGGCCATGCTCAGCTCTGCCGGATGAAAACAAGTCGGGTCAGGAGGACAAGGCAGAGTTCTCTTAACGCTGATTAGTTCTACCAGCCACACTCCTTAAGTACCTCATCCTTCACCAAATCTCATCAGAGAAGTCCTTTGCCAAGGGTGAGATTTAGCAGTTCGCGTGGTTACCAGCTCCTCAGAACAAATGCTAGTTGGAGCTGGAACCTGGAGGCCTCCTGTGGTGCCTTTTATTTGCCAGATGATGGGGAGGTCGAGAAAGGGTCCAGGGTGTTGCCTGGGACCCCTGGAAAGCTCAAGTAGCAGCTGTGTTCTAAGAGGTACGGATTCTATTTTAGTCAACATTTTGGTCATACCTGAACAGCTAAATCTCAGCCCTGTATATTGTTTTAGAAAATTACTAGGGTTCTTAAACTTTCTGGGAAGCTCAGGACAAAATGGCTATAAAGATTGTATGGGCAATCTTGTCTTCCTCTGCTAAGGAAGGTAGGACTCTTCCTCCATGGAAGGAGGCTGAGAGTAGATGGGACCAAGGATTGGTTTCTTGGGAGTCAGGGGTTCATCACACATTTGGTAGGTGCATGTCCCCAACCCATGTTAAAAGAGCTTTTGAGGCTGCTTCCATTATTACCTGATAACACCCTTCTGCTCAGGCATCTCCTCGAAGCGCGTGGCCATGCCAGCCAGCACACACATGGAGCCCCGGCGCTTGGTACAGCGCACACTCACGAAGTCTCGGGGCCCCACGAGGTTTCCTGCTGCCTCGGCAGCCAGCTCATGGGTGATGACTGTGTCTTTCCCAATCTTCTGCAGGACCTGCCAGGCCACAGGGAACCAGAGTCACTACTCAGCCAGGCTGGGGCCGAGGCGCCCCTACACCCACCCCAAGCTTGTCACCACCCCACCTTGATCTCCTTGACATTCGGATTCCACTCGCCCATGGTCTCCATGCGCTCCACAAGCTCTTCATAAAGCCTCTCCATGGGCTGATCGACCACCACCTCCAGCCGGAACACCTTGCCCACATCTGGGACCACTTTACTTAGCACTTCGTCCCCATTCGCCTGTTGGGAGGCAGAGAGGAGCCCCTGGGTAAAGGTTAGAGACAAACATTCCCAGCCGAGGGCACAGGGACAGTGCCAGGCGAGGCAGAAGGGGAACAGCCCGGAGAACTCTAAGCTAAGCCTGCAGAAGCATGGAGCTATCTCTGGTTACAGTAGAGGAGGTCATCTTCCTGCCACAAGCCTCGTGTGTCTGCAGACTGGGGAGGGAAACTGGTCCCTGGACCCTTTTTTCTTGGGGGTAAATGTTGATGGGGTTGGGTAGGTCCTTACTTCAGAAGCTCAAAGATCCTAGCGGGACAAACCTGGGAGTGGGGAAAGTGGTGTCTACAACCAGCTAGCTTCACACAGATTTTTTTTTTCCTAGTCCAATACCTCATTTTACACCCAAGGATGTAGAGCCAGAGGAGGTCAGTGAGATGCCCAGAGACCCTTAGCTAAGAGCATTGCTGGGCCTAGATCCCAGATTTCCTGACTCCCAAATTCGGAGTCTTTTAACTCTGAGAACTTGGAGAAGGAAAGATCTTCCTTAAACTTTGGCCAGTGGCAGCACCAGAGCTTTTGGTAAAGACAAAGCCACCGGAGTCTCAGAGTCACCGGCCTTGAACACATGCCTTGTTACTGGCTCCTGGCACAGGTGCAGCGCTCAGGGGCAGAGCACCCGAGAAGGCCTTAGGCCACCTGTGTTCTGATCCAGCCCCATTGCAAGTGAGTCCAGATCACCCCTGCAAACTCATCTGGAAGGTAGGCTAAGCACAGACACTGCACATTGGCTCTGGAACTTCTGACCCAGGGAGGGTGAGGCCTCTACTGCACCTGAATCCCAGTCCCATGGCCTGCACGGGTGTTCAGTGCATGTGGAGGGTAGATAAGGATTCAGGAACAGTGTTTCTCACACGCGAGCCTCCAGGATGTCTTTGGGGGAAGGGGCTATCTGGGGATATATCCTTGGGAAAAGGAGAATTCTCAAGTTAAAAATGCTTGCTGCCCAGTGACTGCTGCATGAGGCAGGAATTCTGAGAAGAGCAGAGACCCCAGCTGGCCTTGAGGGTGGCCCTGGAACCATGAGGAACTGTGGCTTCCTCCACACCCACCCTTACCTGCTGGCTCTCCCTCTTCCAACCTTCCTGGTTGCTCAAGATGCCTAGGGCCCTCTGCATGGCCTCCTCTCCCTGCTGGATATAGGCCAGTTCTTGGTCGCTGTAGAGAGTGTCCTCCAGCTGAGAACCTGGATACACAGCCAAGGAAAGACTGAGCTTCTTGGCCTTCCACTGGCTCTCACCCCTTTGATCTCTGGACCTGCTCTTTCCTCTGAAGAGCCAAGACCAAAGCCATAGGGTCCAGCCTGCAGGTCCAGTTAGACCCAGGTGAGAGGAGGGGATGTGGCCCTGAAGAACTCCATTCCCATCCTCTCAGAGTGAGTGAGGAAAGCGTGGCGGCGGAGGGGGTGTGGGGGTGGCGCAGGGGAGGGGGAAGACCAGAGCCACAGGCACATTTGTAGCCGGGAGCCTCCTGCCGCTGGCAGAAGCCCAGAAGCCTCTGCACTTACCAAGCAGAGAGCCACGGCGCCGAACCTGGTTAATCCACGCTCCTGGGGTCGGGCCCCCCAGGGCCCTCCAGTTCAGCTCCTGGCCAATGGCCAGCACAGCCTGGTGCCTCAGCCCTGCGGGGAAGGAAGGGAGCCATTACTTAGGAGTGGGAGAGCTCCTTAGAGATGGACCATTCCACCTCCTCATCTTGACAGCAGAGGACAAAAGCTGGGGGAGAAAGTGACTTGCTCAGGAACACAGATCTCTAGTAGGAACTTGAACTAGAGCCAGGTCAGCTCCAGGTCCTGTGTCCTTGACTCCAGGCTGCCTCCAGGGCCTGGAATTCACTGCCTTTCACCTGGGCTGGCCAGGGACCACACTCAAACTTGCTGAAATTCTTTCTTGGAAAGAAGCTTTGTTCAAATAACAAAACATCCTGCTACAGAAGCCTTTAAGGCACTCGGTGCCGGAGGTGTGTGCGGCTGCCCGCAGCAAGGGGACTTTGCTGAGTGAGTGCTCAGCACGCTGGGGCGGTCTTGCTGATCTCGTGAGAACAGCCCCACTGCTGAGTACAGGTCTTCCAAGCATGGTTTCCATCCAAACAGTAGCTAGTTCAACCCACTGTCATTGGAAAGGACTTGTCATTAGATTGTGTGCCTTTCACCGATGGCAGGGGATTGACTCAAATGACCGTGGGTCCTTCAGCACCTGATTTCTGCCTCCTGACTGTAGGATGGAAACAGGACTCCCCACCTCACCCACCTACATTCTCTCCTGCTGTCTCTCCCCTTTCGTTTTCTTTTCCCTTTCTCTTCCCTGCCCCTGTCTCGGGCTTGCCAATACTGCCAGTTGGCATCAGGCTTACTCCCACCTCTGCCACTGTGGCTCAGACTTTCCTGGTACCCTCAGTACCAATCTTAGACAAAGGCAAAGTCAGAGAGAATTCAAGACAGCTAGGAGCCCTGGAGGGGAGACCAGAAATGACCAAATCTGGAAGGGACACACATGGGCACCTGAGTATCCAGCTCAATTCTTCAGTTAGGGGGAAATTGAGGTCCGGAAGGGAAGGCTCAGTAAGAGGCACAGCTGGGACCAGATCCTGAGTGTCCTGCTTCCCAGTCCCGTACTTGCCCCACTAAACATTGCCTGCGAGCTCCCGGTCCCCCGATGCCGCCTCCCCGGGAGCTCACCCTTCATGTTCCGCACATGTCTGTAGGAGCTGCCGGCACACAGCTTAAACGTGGCGAGGAGCATCGTTTCCTGGCAGTCGGGGCAGACGCGGAGGCTGGTGCTGCTGCTGCTGCTGCTGCTGCTGTGGCCTCTGCTCTTGAGGGTGACTGACTGCTCCTGTCCTTCCTGAGCTCGTCAGAGTTGGCCTCTGGGTCCTGCAGCCACGGCCAGAGTGTGTTCTGTGTCTTAAATGCCTCCAGCCGAAGGCTGTGTTGCATCACTGGGAGATAAAAAAGCCATCACTCACCATGCAAAGGAAGGGGTCAAGGATAGAGAGATTGCCTCATAAGGAGCCTTTGGCCATTTTTGGGGGGGGGTGTGGGGAGGGGTGGGGGTAGTGCACAGAAAGAAGCAAGGAGGTTGGTGCCTGACTTGGGGAGGGGGGATGGAGAGGAGGGGAGAGGAGCAGCAGAAGTCAAGGCAATGTAGAAAAAAGTATGTAGCATGTGACAGTGGTTTTCAGGCAGCATGTGTGGTGCTGTTGAATGCAGCTCTGTAGCTGTCAGATCTAGAATTAAGGCTCTGAAAACTATTTGTTTTTATTTAAAAAATCATTTATTTTATTTTGGGGCGGGAGGTAATTGGGTTTTTATTTATTCACCTATTTTTAATGGAGGTACTGAGGATTGAACCCAGGACCTTGTGTTTGCTAGGTGTGCGCTCTGCCACTGAGCTATACCCTCCCCCCCGAAAACTGTAGTTTTAAAAATATTTCCAGGTGATTGCCTTGCAGGTGTTCTGTGAGCTGCACACTAGGCTTTGAGAAACTATCCTGGAACAGTGCCCCGGGCATCTGCCAAGGAGAACTTAGTCATCTAGCCCCAGGATGAGGGGCCTGACGTCTAGGTAGGAATGTCACTTGCCACTCAGTTCTACAAGAAGCAAGTCATTAGCCCCTGCAGTCACTGACATACAATACACCCCGAAAGGAAGATCAGCGTAGGATACTTTGTGCTCTGGGAAAAGAGGCAAAATGAGCCCTTAGTTATATTTTCAGGAGAAATTTTTTTATCAGCCTACATTTTCCCCATACTTAGAAAAGCACTAGAATCATGAATGGAGGTATCTGTGACTTGTGACCAGCAGCAACCTTCTACCCAGATGTGCCCCTGATTGCATGTTCTCCTTCACCCAAGTCATATACATGCTGGCCTCCCCTCTCCCTCTTTAGAGCAGTTCCTCTGGAGAGGCTGTCTCCCAGGCTATAGCCCTCAGTAAGCCCCCAAATAAAACAAACCTCACAGCTCTCATCTTGTACTTTTTTAAAAAATTAATTTGTTCTTTTTTAACACCTTTATTGTATAATTCTTATACAGTAAACTATACATATTTCAGATGTGCAATTTGATGAATTTTGAAAAGATGTATGTGCTTTTTTTCCAGTCAGCAGTTTTGGTGACCATGAAAGCACAGAGCTGACTTCTCTCCTTTACCTGAACTGTACGGGGATTCAGAACCTCAGTGCCAGCAAGGACCTCTTAGGCCCGTCCACCTCTTCAGCAAGTCCCGCTGAATTTGGGTGAGTCTTTCCTGGTTCTCAGATCTCCTGATTAATTGATAATCTTGAGTCTTATTTGGTGGCGTATAACAGGGACCTGGCCTCAGTTAAGAGATTGTGGTAAGAGGCTGGCTAAAACATCTTTCCTCAGTCTAAATAAGGGGCATCAGAAAGCCAACCTCTGACTAACACCCCAGCCAGATTTGTGTAAAATACATATGGAATACTTATTGTTACAAGTAATTGTGTGATTGGGAACTGAAGGCAATCTTGCCCTGAAAATGGTCAAAATGGTAGTCTAAAAAATAATTCCTTCGTTTTATTCTTTAGAGTCCATGTATGAATGAGATCCCATGGTACTTGTCTTTCTCTGTCTGACTTATTTCACTTCGCATAATACCCTCCAGGCCCATCCATGTTGTCGCAAATTGTGGAATTTCATTCCCTTTTTTATGGCTGAGTAACATTCCACGCCTTCTTTATCCATTCATTTGGTTATGGGACACTTAGTTTTCATCCGTACCTTGGCTGTTGTAAATAACGGTGCTTGGAACATTAGGCTGCCTGTATCTTTTCAAGTTAGTGTTTTTGTTTTGTTTGGAAAAACACCCAGGAGTGAGATCGCTGGATCACGTGGTAGTTCTATTTTTAGTTTTTTGCGGAGCCTCCATATTGTTTTCCACAGTGGCTGTGTCAATTTACGTTCCCACCCACAGTGTAGAACGGTTCCCTTTTCTCCACATCCTTGCCATCATTTGTTATGCGTGCTCTTTTTGATACAGCCGTTCTGACAGGTGTGAGGTGATCTCTCATTGTTGTGACTTTCTTTTCTCTGATGATGAATGATGCTGAGCTTCCTTTCATGTGCCAGTTGGCCATCTGTATGACTGTTTTGGAGAAATGTCTTTTCAGGTCTTCTCATTTTTCAATCAGGTAGTTTGCTTTTTCTTGATGTTGGTGCACGCGCTGTTTATATATGTGGATAGTAACCCCTTAGTGGTCGTACCATTTGCAAATAATTTCTCCCATTCAGTTGGTCGTCTTTCCGTTTTGTCAATGGTTTCCTTTGTTGTGCAAAAGCTTTTAAATTTTATTATGTCCCATTTGTTTATTTTTGCTTTTGTTTACTTTGCTTTAGAACAGAGATCCCCAAAAAATATTGCTATAATTTTGTATCAAAGAGCATTCTACCGATGTTTTCTACTAGGAGTTTTATGGTATCCAGGGTTACATTTAGGTCTTTAATCCATTTTGAGTTTATTTTTGTATATAGTGTGAGAAAATGTTCTAATTTCCTTCTTTTACAGGTAGCTGTCTAGTTTTCCCAGCACCACTTATTAAAGAGATTGTCTTTTCTCCATTGTATATTCTTGCCTCCTTTGTCATAGATTAATTGATCATAAGTGTGTAGGTTTATTTCTGGGCTCTATTCTGACCCATTGATCTATGTGTCTGTCCTTATGCCCGTACCATGCTGATTACTGTAGCTTTGAGTACAGTCTGAGGTCAGGGATGATGATACCTTCAGCTCTGTTTTTCTTTCTCAAGATTGCTTTAGTAAGATGGGGTCTTTTGACATTCCAAAACTAGTTTTGTGTATGCAGTTAGAGAATGTTGGCTTGCTAAAATATTTTTTTTCAGAATTCTGCCCTTAAAGGAACAAATTCTTCCAGTAAGAATTTGCTTTTCCTTATCTGCGCCTTGAGCTATAAATGTTCTGCCAGTGCCCTCAGGACTAAGTCCTGAGGCAGAGAGGAAAAAAAGAGAGAAAAGAGGCCTTTTTAAAAAACATAAGCAAGTAAACTTAACTTATTCCAACTGTTACTTATAAACTAGTGAGTTTTATGTTGTAATATCTGATTCATAACTCAGTTTTAAAAATGAAGCTATGAAATCTCTGGTTGTGTCTGTACGTCTGTGTGTACATTATAGATGTGATATGTCTTTACCTGCAGATGGTATAACCAAAGTTAATTTGGAAATGAGCTCTATTTAATTGGCTTAAAGGAAATTAAGGGCCTATATAAATTCTCAGAAACTAGCCCAAATGAATTTCAGGTTCACATGATCTGGGAAATATTCAATATTAAATTAATATTTGGTATTAAAGTTAGCTTAAGTTTGTTGGCTTAATGAATATAGACGTGTCTTTAGAGTCATCAATATTAAATATAATAGCTTTATTTCACATAGGTTTACTAGGAGTCAAATAAGACCTTATCATTTCTGTTATAAAAATTTGACAGCAAGAAAAATAACTTGGTATGATGAAATTTTAAAAGTAAATTTTTAGGTGAACCCTTTAGAAATAATTATACTTTAGGAATGCCCCCTTAAAAATAGTTTCCCAGATATTTAGTAACTTGAAACTGGAGAGTTTTGATAAATTAAGTTAAAATGATGAAGGTTTATTGAATATAGAATCATTCCCAAATAAAATAGATACTAAAACATTAACTATTGAACATAGGCTTCTTTTTACAGAGAAACTAAAGGTATTTAGGACAACTAGTAAATATATTTGGTGTCAAATTGAGACATTTTCTATAAGAAAGCACATGTTTTTAGAAATTATAAATAGTATTTATAAGTTTGCCAGTCTACAGAATGCTAATGGAAAAGACAGTTCATAATTGCTTAATTATTAGTTTTCACTAGAAATTAAGGTGCTTTTTTTTTTAAGAGTTGAGCACTCTAATTAAAATATGTAATTAAAGGTACTAAAAATTAATAAGGAGAACATTTTTGTTTGCAAGGAGAAAAAAGTATAAGGAATGGAAATGAATTTAGTTAAGGGAATAAGAAATAATTTTGTCCTAAAGAGAAAGGGAAATGCATAAGACAAAAATCTGGAGGCAGAAAAGAAGTTATAGAAGGTTTGTGAAAAAGAAACCCCCCCCCCAAAAAAAAAAAGAAAAGAAAGGTTTGTATGGGATCAGGACTGGCTAAGAGTAGAATAAATTTAATTGAGTACATGAATTTTAATATTTAAGGTAGTGCCAAACCTGAATTTGGTTTTCTGTCTCTTGAGAGGACAAAGTTTTCTTAGAAAATTTATCTGCTTTTGGTAACAGATTATAAAGTTTATTTTTTGAAGTAATCTGTTGTAGCTATCTGTATTTGCCTTTGAAATCTTTTATTGTCACTTTGGTTAAATAAGTGTAGTTTCACAGTGACCGAAGATCCTATCTGACCAAGTGTTTTTAAACCTTTTTGGTATTTTTGACAACCTTTTCCAAATCAAGTTTTAAATGAAACTCTTTGACCTCTAGTTAACTTTGAGGTTTTCCAGAGGCCCCTGGAACACCTGAAGAGATTTGTTTTCTCTCGTTATCAAAGAAAGATGTTAAATCTGGCACAACATTGTAAAATGACTATTACTCAGTGAAAAAATGTTAAAAAAAAAAAAGAAGTTAAACTTGTTAGGCTTCTGTGGTATGTTAAATGACATGGAAAGCATTGTCAAATGAATGGTAATAAACATTCTTAGGTTCCATTGTATGGGTAAATGTTGTAAATGTCCTAAAAGTTATGTGAAACTTCTAAAACTTTAATATGTCCTTGTATAATGTTATCAGTCATAATTCGTTATTATTTTAATATTGTATGTCATAAAAATAACCAAATTCTTTGACATTTGCACTGTAATCAGTCTTTAACTGTACCTTTTAAAGTCATTTGCTATTTATAGACAGTTATTATTGTATTCTGATGCTTTTCCA